ACCATGCCTGGCTAATTTTTGTATTTTTAGTAGAGATGGGGGTTTCACCATATTGGTCAGGCTGGTCTCGAACTCCTGACCTTTGGTGATCCACCTCCCTTGGCCTCCCAAAGTGCTGGGATTACAGGCATAAGCCACCGTGCCCAGCCAGAAAACATATAAAACATATTTTACATAACCACTTAGACATATTCTTAGTGACAGATCATAAATCACTTTAAGTAAACTTTGTTCTTACCACATACATGAAAATAAATATATTCACAGTGTAAAGCATTTAAGCAATATGTAATAGAGTGAAATAAGAGTTTTCAAAAAGCCCACACTTTCACTTCTAGAGATTTGCTGTTGAAATCCTATCATTTATTCAATGTATTTAAATCCATATGAATGTGTATATGCATTTGTATTCATTTTTAGCATGAATGGGATCATTTTTATGATATTTAAAATCTCCTGAATTCCTAATAGCTTCCCATAACAGTCTGTTGTTTTATGGTTACAATCCTGGACATACTTTGGGGGATATCAATTATACTTATTCTAATGTCATCTGCTATTCAACAATTTTCTAGGGTGTTAAGGATTTTCTGTGTTAATTCATAGCCACTTTCTGGGGGGAATTGGTAGAAGGTGTTTCCTCACATACCTACTAATCTTTGGTTGTGTGTGAATCCTCAGACTTAAGATCCTCTGTTTGCTTGTCTGCTTTGCTATTTATTTTTGCTCTAGGTTGTTTTTAGAGGTGTGATGAAGGGGCAGGGTAAGCTACTGGGTGGGGGCACTGGAGGTTTGCCTTGGGCTATGGGATCCTGGGCTCTCCTGGGGTTCAGTAGCTGTCAGGCTGTCTAACTCCAGTCCACATACTCATTGTGTTAGTCCACATACTCATTGTGTTAGATGCCTCTACAAATGCTGCTTCTCACAGGGCTGATTGATTGGAGGGTATTGGTGAGGAGTCAGCTGGATTAAATGTTCCATATGTGATTCCTCAGAGTGGGTTTCATTGGACCATCTGCATCAGTTTATCATGTAGGGAGTGCATTAAAAATGTGATTGCTTGGAGCCATCCCAGATCTAAATGCAAAACTAGATTATCTGTGGAAAAGGAGCCCAGACATCTGGTCCTGGGGCTGAGTCTGTGGGAAAGGCCATACTGTAATATACAATTTTAACAAGCTCCCCATGATTCTTATGTAGATAGGAGTGTGACAACCACTATTTCAATGATTCACCGGGTGTCACTCCCTTCTCTGTGTTTTAATTAATTTGAAGAAAGGTCCTACCTATCCCATGCCCACCAGCATCACCACTCAATTGCTCTTCATCTGGGTTGTTCCTCAGTAGAGTTGACCCTTTCTACTATTCTTTCTATGTATTCTCCTTTTGGAATTCTTAAAAAATTTTCATCATAAATGACAGTCTTTCTTTTAAGCCTTATACTTTCATATATATGTGAAAGTAATAAAAATATATTTTGTATCCATATCAGTTTAAAAACAATTTTATAGTCTTCATATTTTTCATTATTTCAGAGAGGTGTTCCCCTAATTAACCTCGATATTATAGTACCTAAAATCTGTAGAAAATGTCATCAAGCTCTCAGAGCATCATTAATGCTCTACTGCTTCAGCAAACTCTATTGGTTACCTTCTGAACACTCACTACAGCCTTTTTCCTGGCCATCAAAGTCTCAATTATCATTTGTTCTAAGGATAAATCCTGCTTGGTCTAAGGTAATTGTGGTAGCCCTGTTCCCCTTGCCAGTGGTTCATTTAGGAGAGGATATGTAAAGGGTTCCAGCCAAGGAAATATAAGGAGAAGGCTGTTGGTGGCATCTGATAATTTTTTTTCTCACTTCTAAAAAGACATTAGAAAACCAGTCCCTTATTGCCTGCAGGTACCATATCCAAATGAGGCCTCCAGGGTGGAGGAACTATAGCCATCTTGTGATTATATAAGGACCTGACTTAGCTTTGGGTTGAAGCCAGTGCTGAGGGCAGCAGGATGGAGACAAAAAGAACATCAAGATCCTTGAGGATATTGCCTAGACTCTGATCGACTACAACTGACACTATCCTACTGCTGTTACTTGTAGCCCAAAGCATCCTGATAAAATCTCTATTTTAAAATACATAACAGTGCTCTTTTTAGAAAATATTTTCTTAAAAATCTCGAGAAAAAAATCTTGGAAAAAAGAACCCCAATTTCACAAATTCATAAACTGCTTCTTCTCTTACTGTCAAAATTCACAAAACTTATATCCAAATATTTTAAAATCTTTAAACAACAAAAAGAATTATCTTAAATTATAGGTGACAAACATTCCTATTCCCAGCCCCACAAAGAATGAGGATTAAAAATCAAAGAAACTTGATTTCATAGCATATTCCAATTTCTAAGTCCTAAGAGGTTTGAGTATGGGCAGGAAATCTTGAATTTTACTTACAAATTGTATTAATATGTCAAATTTTTTGAGTGAATTGTTTTGACTTCCAGCTTACCATTACAAAAATGGCCAAGCCACAAATTTGACTCTAGCTTATAATTAAAACAGTATTATATACTACCAGGGACCTCCTGACCTCTGAGCAACCTGAGGCTTCAGCAGTCCCAGGCTTTGAACCTAAATGCCCACCCTCCCCAACTTAATCCTAGTGGTAAAGGAGAGTAGATAGAGTATAGATAGAAGAGCTAGAGACAGGTAGCATACAGAAAGGTCTCTAGCACTTGGAGCCATTTAAGTGGCTCTATCTTTCCTAATTCACATTTCTAAATATGGGCATTATGTCCATTTTTTAATTTTTAAGAAGGTCTTGCATGGGTAGGAAACATCAACTTTATAAACTGATAAAACGTCATCAGCATTTCTGCAATAGTACAGTAACTTCCTACAGATAATTAGTTTGATGGACTTTAGTGGTTTATTTCTCCCTCCATCTCCAGTCTACCCTGACTCTCACAACTTCTCAGAACAACTTATGTTAAAAATATAATAAACAAAAAATACCACAAAGCACGTGTTAATATTAAATGGGCAGGCTCCATGCACAGTCCTTCATTGCTTTACAACAGGGATATATTCCAAGAAATGTGTCATTATGCAAATTTGTCATTGTGTGAACGAACATCCTTGAGTGTACACAAACCAAGACAGTATAACCTACTACACACGTAGGCTATATGATACAGCCTATTGCTCCTAGGCTACAAACCTGTATAGAATGCTACTGTATTGAATAGTGTAGGTAATTGTAACACAATGGTATTTGCATATCTAAACGTATCTGACCACAGAAAAGTTACAGTAAAAATACGGTATTATAATCTCATGGAACCATCATTGTATACATGATCTGTCACTGACCAAAATGTCATTATGTAGAACATGAATATACAAAGAATTCTGTGCAAACTTATTCTGTAAAATATCAATTCATGTCACTACCATTAGGTTTATTCCTTTTCTTCACTATGCTCATTTCTAAGCTTCTTTCTTAACTTTCCAAGACTCCACTTTATATGCTAACTCTTGGTATGCCCACAAATTCCCTCTTAGCTTAGCTGTGTGCTAGCACCACCTCCCTATGCCCAGACTGTGATCTCTTCATTTGTTGAGCTCCAAGAAGCAATCATCACATAGTAGCTGGGACCTGACTAGACTGCTCTCCACATGAGACATCCACGTGGCCAAACCCCTCCTTGATGATATTACAGGGAAGAGAAACGACAATTTCTTTTTTTTCTAGCAACCATCACCTTGTTTCTTTTTCAAGACAGCTGAACTACTATATTTACTGTACTATTAACCATAGTGTTATAAAGTTTGAATATTTGATTTTTCTTATTTTTCAGAAACAAACTATTTTGCTACAAGTAATCCAAATATACATTAATTTGATAGGTCATTTTTGGAATTTGTTCCTTCTTGTGTTCAGTACTTTATTAAACACATTGTTTTTAGGAGTAGTTCATGGTCAACACAAACATTTGGTTGCTAAGCATTTTAAATATTTATATTTTTATGCAGTTCATCCTTCTAAAATACAGGAACTGAAAATCACATATATCAGAAGGTAAAAGAATCTGCTTACTTTTCAAAGATTGTACACATTCTATTTTAGTATTATAATTATAGATATTCTATGTTTACACTATGATTTTTGAAATTTCTGAAATGAAAGTAATTTTTACTTATTTATTCATTTTGAGAGAAGGTCTCACTTTGTCACTCAGGCTGGAGCTCAGTGGCATGATCATGGTTCACTGCAGCATCAACTTCCTAGGCTTAGGTGATCTTCCCACCTCAGCCTCCCAAGTGGTTTGGACTAAAGGTGTGTGCCAACACGCTTGGATAATTTTTGTATTTTTTGGGGAGACAAAGTTTTGTCACGTTGCCCAGGCTTAAAATTAATTTTTAAAAGAAACAGTGCTCCTATCGCTTCTCGGCCTTTTGGCTAAGATCAAGTGAAGAAACAGTGCTCTTGATTTTATATCATTTTCTTATCATGTGTTTTCCAACATTTTTTTCTCACTTGCATCAAGCATAAGTGCTTCAGCATTTCAAAAATACTCAACTCTCTCCTTGAAGCTAAAATTAGTAATTTCGAGATACAACTTCAATATTGTTTCTTAAGGAGAGATAGTAAAGGAATAAAGGTAAGAAAAAAGTTCAAAGAGTATTTCACATTAAGTTGCTGCATTTGAACTATCAGGGAAAGCTTTAATATATGGATAGATAAGTTTCTTATTGAGACAAAGAAATCCTCCATGTATTTGAATATATTTACAGGTTCTTCAATATATAATCTAGGGCAGCAAAGTGGTCAAGAAAAGCAGCAGTAAACTATTACTCACACAAGTAAATTTCTGCCAAAAGAATCACAGAGAACACACCAGGGTTTTTATAATTCTTGTCATTTCTTTCTAATTCTTGCCATACTGTGGCACATCTACAGAGCACTGTTATCTTACAAGTTGTTTAATGTTCTCCATCTTACATAAGCATTTCTTTATAGTTGTCCATCTCTGTCACCGCCTTCTGAAGTTTTAACCCAAGTGCCTCTACTAGACATTGTAAATCTGAAATGACACAATTTATTTCATCTAATTAGTACATTTTAAGTGTCCAGATATTTTCACAGAGTAAACCATATTCTTTTAATGTTACTAGTCAGCTCCAGAAGAATAATGCAGTTTCTTATTCCACTTTGCCTCTACGTCCATATGCAACTTGTCACTGACTACTCAGCCCTCCCTATCCTAACACCCCAGAGACTCAATGGATTCTGACAGGCCCAGTTTGTTGGCCTCTTTCTGCCCTCACCACCATGCTGATTTTCAAACACCTAGTAGGCTAAATTTTACTAACGTTTTCAAAGGAAATGTATGTGGCTGACAAACATGAATTTCTGATCATGTGTCTTGCTTCTAAAACACTTGATTGCCTGAGCTCACTTTTGTGGTCTGGAACTGAGAAGCACAACTGAGTCTTCCTGCTAGAACTAAAACAGACAAATCACGTGCCAGGCTCATAGTAAAGAACTTGTAACTCTGGGTAGCATCTAAAAGGCATTTTAATGACTGTCAAACCCAAGAGATTACAAACAGGAAACTGGCCTCCAGAGTCTTTAGCTGGGGAGTGTAAGAAGAATTTGAGGATGATTATTCAAGCAGTACTGTCTAACAAATATGTGAATGGAGAACTGAAACTATAGCAGAAAGAACAAATGGTTTGACTAATCTAAGTCCTTCCATTGTTCTGGGTGTGGAAACTATGATCTGAACCCCAGCCCCAGTTACGACCCTTGTTGGTATGCTTTTTGAGAATAAGTTATAATGGAAAACAAACTGATAGACTTGTTTCTTGTTTGTTTCTATAGGAAAAAAAAATAGTTCAAAACACTGGACTTGTAAAATTTCTATGTTCCATCTGTTCAGGTGTTTCAGTGACGCATTTTAATAGTAAACTTTAAAATCATTATAAATCTATATAAATCTGCGTTCTTAACTTTATTTTACAAAGAGCTAGTTCCTTAAATTAGAAAATAAATTCACTCTAAACAAATGTTTTAATTAGAATTTACCAGACATTTGTATAAATCTTTGTTTATCCAGTACTTTTACATACATTTTTTTTTTTAGTTTACATGTTTCCTTATTCTTATTACATTAAATATATGTATCTCTAAGAATGGTTTGCTTAAATCTCTGAAAAAAATGTTCTCATTTTTCAAGTCATCCATGGTAAGGAGAGGGAGGATTAGAGAATACCTGCTACTGACCGTATGGAAGTTTTGGATGATATAAATTCAGAGGATCAGAGCAGCTGAATCAAAATTAAAATGTACATTTAAAAAATGTGTTAGTTAACGGTGGGAGGATAGAGAAAGAGCTAGGTGAGTGGAAGGTCACACTGAGGTGGGAGACGAAGGCATTCAGACTAGCATGTGGCATTTCCTATCGAGGGTAAGACAGTCAGAACAGAAGCTGTGGTTACAGTCCAGGCACTAAAAAGATTTGATTCCAGTATGTTTTCAGAAATGTCTTGTTCATCAGACAGAGCAAATTTCCATGTGCATCCATCCCATGTACATTTGTAGGATGTGTCTCCTGTGTGTGTTCTGTATGATTTCAAGCGGAAGCTTTTAGTGTATACTTTGTTGCATATGTCACAATCACATCTGTGTATCCTCTGCTTCCTTTGAGTATTCACGAATTCCACCAGTAAAGGTCTCTTTCCAGGCTATACTATGACTTAAGGTGATTCTCTTGCAACAGTGCTTGTGGGCAGGCACTGAGTTCATTAAGGCGGCATGACATTTCTTCAGGATAATCATCTGTCCTCTGTGTTTCAATCACAGGTTCATTTTTTTTTCTCTGATACAGGTTTCTTATGTGATTTAATTACAGGTACTTACATGATACTACTTGAATTTTCTGTTTCCTCCAACAAAGAAACAATGAGAGGCTGCTGGAGGTAACTCATGTACATAAAGGGGACAGACCGTACCACCACCAGGCAAGATCCCCAGGTTCTGTATTCTGTGCCAGGAGAAGGCAGCTGCCATCACTGGTGGCATGGACAGTGGGATGCCATAGGGCTGTATGCCCAGAGAAGGGAGTGAGTGTTTTTCATAATGGGCTAGAAGAAGGCATGTTCAACCCTGGAGAGGCTTTCCAGGTCAAGGAGGGAACTTCAGGGAGAAAGAATTCCCAGCCAAAGGGGGTGCACTCTGCTTGTTCATTTTAAGGTCTACTGGCTCCATCTGTATTCCATGCAAAAAGCCTTCCTGGGTCTGAAAAAACTTATTAGGTAATGGTGTAGAGTAGATGACCCATACTTTTACTGATTTCATATAATTTCATGTATAGTCACAACTACCAAGAAAACTCAAAGGATCAGACTAATTAACTTATCAAAGGCCACTCAGCTAGTTAGATCCTATAATTTAAATTCGGGTCTGCCTGATCCCAAAGTTCTTATCTCTCTCACACTGACTCTTGAAATATAAAAGCTGCAAGAGAATATGATATTTGTCCATAAAAGTGGGGTAAGTATGACTACAAATCTGTTATGATATTCCCAGAATCCTTAAAGAGGTATATTTAAAACAAATGAAAAGAATTATTAACAATGAAATACGTAGTAAACTGGTAGAATTTCTAACTTCAAAAGGTGGTTTAGATTTTAGTTTTGGAAAGCTTAACTATATGTTATAGTTAATAAAAGATATTAATATAATTATGGTATCATTGTGATTCTACGGGAAGATTTCATCAGAGAGAACAATTACACCTTACTATTAAATGGCCCCTGGTGCTTGTGTCAGGATATGGTCCTAAACTAGAAGAAGCAGAGGTCTGAGCCCATATGATAAATGTTTTTGCTACTTCTGAATGCAGCTATAAATTAAAAGGAAGAATTATCTTAAAATGAACTTCAAAGAACTGGTACTTAATATGTAAATTTTATGCAGTTGATTCTCAATTACCTGAGAATTAGGAGAATAGTAGACAGTAAAAATGGCAGCTAATTCAAAGCTTTGCTGTTCTGAATGAAATATAAACATTTTACTAGTTCATCATAAGTTCTGATAGACTAGTCTGGTCTTTTTGTTTTCAGAAGCAGAGTACCCAGTTCTTGTCCTTAATAAATAAATACAGGATAAGCAGCAGAGAGCACCTGCACTCAACAGCATCTTCAGTTTCTGAGGCAAGGAGTTGTTAAATAAGTGTATTGTTCTGCTGAGACCTTCTCTATAGTTAAAGAAATTCTACTTTAATTTTCTGTCATTGAGCATGACATTGGATTATGAGGCACAAGTCCCTAAATGCCTACAAAAATAAAGGAAGCATTGGCTTCAGACACCATGCAGATGTAAAGCAGAACCCATGGAAACAATCCAAAATTTACAACAGCAAATTATATTATGATGTGACTGTGTTCTTTGCAGATATTAAATAAGAAGTAAATGCTTTTAAATGAACAAGACAAAAAACACTCTTAGCCTCTCTTCATATGAAGCCAGCTGTTTGCTGGACAGCATTCCACAGGCATCAGATTTAGGATAAAGAGTCATTTAAGAGAATCCTGTGGTTGGGATCCAAGATGACTGAATAGGAACAGCTCTGGAGTGGACCTCTCAGCCAGAACAATGCAGAGGGTGAGTGATCACCGCATTTCCAAATGAGTTTTTACTGCCCACAGACCAGGAGATTCCCAAGCTGAAAAGTGCCATGAGTTTCTAGAATAGCTGTTTCAGCTGGCACCATGGATCTCTGCATAAAAACTCACACAAATCTGGGTGGCCATTTCAACTGGTGCCTGGAACACCTGGGATACAGAGCTGCCCATTCAACTGAATAAAAGGGGGCTGAAACAGGAAGCCAGGTGATCTAGCTAGGTGGGTCCCACCCTCACAAAAACTAGCAATCTGAAACATTCTGGATTGAGAGTTTCACAGCAAGCACAGCTAGACCTGGGACGGTCCAGCTCAGTGGGGGAAAAGACATCAGCCATTACCAATGAGGCAGTCCACCACTACTGAGGCAGTCCACCATTACTGAGGTTGTCCACCATTACCAAGGCAGTCCATGATTATTGAGGCAATCTACCTTTACTGAGGCAGGCTGCCATTACTGAGGCAGACTGCCATTATTGAGGCAGTTCTAACTGCACCTCTGTAAACAAAACCACAAGGAAGTTCACACAGCAGCTGGGCAGAGCCCACAGCAGCTCAGTAATGCCTCTGCTCGCAGACTGTGACTAGACTACCTCCTTGCTAGGCAGGACACCTCTGAGAAAAGGCAGCAGCTCCTCAGGAACTTACAAATAAAGCCCCACCTTCCTAGGACAGAGCACCTGGGAAAAAGGCAGTTATGCATTCCACTGCAGCATACTTAAACGTACCTGCCGAGTAGCTCTGAACAGAACAACAGAGCTCACAACTCAGCACTTGAGTTCCTGTAAGAGACAGACTGTCTCCTCAAGCAACTCCCTGACCCCTGCATATCCAAAGAGACATCTCATAAAGGAGAGCTCAGGCTGAAATATGGCAGGTAATCTTCCGGATGAAGATAACAGAAGAAGAAACCAGCAGCAAACCTTACTATTCTGCAGCTGACACAGGTGATCCCCAGGCAAGCAGAGTCTGGAGTGGACCTCCAGCAGTCCTACGGCAGAGGGGCTTGGCTGTTAGAAGGAAAACTAAAAGAAATAATTTCATCATCAACAAAAGGACATCCACTCAGAGACCCCATCTGAAAGTCACCAACTACAAAGACCACAGGTAGATAAATCCACAAAGATGGGAAGAAACCAGTGCAAAAAGGATGAAAACACCCAAAACCAGAACACCTCTCCTCCTCTAAGGGATCACAACTCCTCACCAGCAAGGGAACAAGGCTGGATGGAGAATGAGTCTGATGAATTGACAGAAACGTGCTTCAGAAAGTGGGTAATAACAACTTCTCTGAGCTAAAAGAACTTGCTCTAACCCAATGGAAAGAAACTAAGAACCTTGAAAAAAGGTTTGATGAAATGCTAATGAGAATAAACAGCTTAGAGAAGAATATAAATG